CACCAATGAACACTTGGACCGCTTCTATAATTTGGCTTTTGTCAATAATGCTGCAATAAACATCAGACTATTAATTCCTTGAAAATTCAATTCATTAAAAATGCAGTTTACCTTATGTATCTAGCAAACTCTTGTAAAATTCTTACTATATATCAGACGTGGTTAGCTCTATGAATAACAACTAATTTAAACCTCCAAACAACCCTATGGTGTAGGAACTAGTATTATCCTCAACTTCATATATAAGCAAACTAAAGCAGCATGAACTTACAAAAACTAAGCAATGTTACACAGCTAATATGTTCCTGAGTTTGGATTCAAACCAGGTAGTGTATTTTTGGATCTGTGTCCTTACCTATTAAAGCCCACTATCTCTAAAATAAATTATAATGAACATATTATGTTTGAAAGTATTGACATATGAGCTATCTTGTATTTTATTTGATAGGAAAGAATTTGTAATATTGCAAAGTATTACTTCAAACTTCAGACAGAAGTATTGTCTCCTTTGGTTATATAATGTGCTTGTATACATTAAAGTGTCACTACTTTTTATCATTTTTCAAAGCTGGAAATTCAGCTTAGTGCTTACGTGATGTAAACAAATTTTATGACATATTTAAAATTTCTATTATGTCCATGAATATTAGAAAGGATGTCTCAATAATGAAGTGAATATGCGTTGAATGGATAGCAGTTTTTAACATACAAATTAATTTTCTATCATCACAAATGTTTCATTGAGACATATATTTCAAAATTCAGCCCCTGTAATAGTGAGAAAAATTCCTGCTCCCAATAATTAATGGCTAGCAAAGATGCTCTTGTCTTTGTTTGTCAATGGACAGTACTTAGGAAAAAATGAAGATGAGTTGTCAAACCATGACGTCATGCTCTTTGCTTTATTTTTGCATTCTCTTATTCACAGGATATAGATTCTGTATAACCACAGGGTGAGGGATGAATGCTATACCAACAAGTATTTGTTAAAACACATACTGTGAAAGCAATTTTTTTAAATAGGTAGAGTAAATAATGGAATATTAATTAAAGGCCAATAGAGTGAAATTATACTGTGCTAGCCTGCCAAGGATATTACCTGTGTGTCAAAAAGAAGAGTTTATAACTGGCATGTTAGGATTACATGCCAATAATCTGAGCAGGTGGTCATTAGAGATTTTGCTAGAAGCCAAATCGTTTTCCCTATGAATAGCTTGGTAAGGTCCAAGCACTTATTTTTCCCTGAATTAGAAATCATGCCACTTCAAATTGCCAACGTACCTGTCCATAATGCCAAAGGAGTGTTTAGCAGTTCTTTCACAAGCTGAGAATGATTCACCATGCTCAGAATTTTTAAATCTGTTTTATTGGATAAACTCAAAATATCTGCTTTATCGGATAAATTTAAAATATCTGTTAGGTGTCTTCTTTTTTCTTTACAAACAGCATAATTGAAAGCATTGTTTTGGTAAAATCTTCTCAGAAGACCACATAATCACCATTTAAATTAGTCCTAATTCATTTTACATTTGCTTATTTTACTGTTAACTTTCCCAGAACTGTAATTTTTTTTTTTTACAATTAGAACATCTGAATTTTAATTACATTACCATCAAGAAGCTCATTAAAGTCACTTAATTGGCAACATTTCCAAAAAAACCTTAGCTGGGTTTAATATATTTTAAAGAGTTACTGTCAAAGTATAATTTCACCATTACAAACAGCTTGGCAACAACATTTGCATAAAGATCTGTCAGTTTCTGAAAAATGCTCAAATGTTGGGAAAATCAGATTCGTTAAGTCGCCTTTACTGAAACAGTCTAGAAATGGAGAAATTGTACACACATTCGTCTTTGTAATACCCTTGTCCCCTGCAGGACCCAGAGTACTGCCAGGGACAGCATAGGTATTCAAAAAATGTTTCTTGGAGGAAATAATTCATACATTTTATGTTTTGGAGCAGACTTAAACATTTTTTTAAAGCCTCAATACAAGTTCCTTCATTCATGTTAAATTTAACAAAATACCCGTTTTCTTCTTTCTCATCCACGCTAGGATATAGGAGATGGTCACTTAGAATTTTGAAACAATTTAAAATAGTTCTAAGGTTAGCATTGCAGAACTAACACTGGAGCTAATTTTGAGATGATAACATTTTTTATGGTTTCCCTCTTACACATATTAGAATCCCACCCCGAAACTTCCGGTGTCATTTGAACTTGTGTTGTAGTTACATTCATTTTCCACCTCTACAAGACTTCAAGTTTTGCCTATAGACATGCATTTTGTTTAATATACATGCATTTTGGGGAGGTAGAGGGTAACCTCTAGTACCTAAAACTGTGGCTTGCAATTACATGTGTTGAATGGATGAATGAAAATCTCAACTTTGGGATATAGGAAACATGATTAATTAGGGTGCATATGCAAGAATGAATGAAATGAGGTTAAAAGATAGTTATTATCACAATTTCCTCGCTACAAATAGAAAAGGTCAGATGTTTTTAATCCTCCCTTTGGTTTGGTACTTTTCTATTAAATCTTTCCCCTTTGTAATATATGTATCTTTTATCCTCCACACCAAAAGAAGAGTCTAGTAAAGCCGTACAAAATGTGAACACTAAAAAAACAAAAACAAAAACAAAAAAAAATAACTCTCAAGTTGCTGCCTTGCTCTTCACTGTATTCCTAAAGTCTTGCACAGTGTCTGGTGTATAGACAGACTCAACAAATACTTGTTGAATGAATGAGCAAATACACAAACACAGGCTGGATGTCTGAGGGGCACCTGGATGACCCTGTCCCAGGAGGTCAGGAGTGGCTTTAGCAACAGTGATGTAGAAAAATGAAGTTTCCGCAAGCACAGATGCATTCACTCATCTATCAATCACTGAGCTTCTACCGCATGCTAAGTTCCAAGATATGGCCTGTGAAGATTGCTAGGACAGCACCAACCAATAACACTGTCTGTGATGATGGAAATGTTCTACATGTAATATCTACAACATTGTTTTATAGACCGTGGGGAAGACTGGAGGCTGCCACCTGGAAAATGGCACATTTCGATTTGTCTTTTAGAAGTTGCCTCTGCAGCAGTGGGAACAGAGGCATGAGGCTGGAGACCTCTTATTGCATGTTGATATTAAACTACAGCTTTGGGGCGCCTGGGTGGCTCAGTGAATTAAGCTGCTGCCTTCGGCTCAGGTCATGATCTCAGGGTCTTGAGATTGAACCCTGCATCGGGCTGTCTGCTCGGCAGGGAGCCTGCTTCCTTCTGACTCTCTGCCTACTTGGGATCTCTCTTTCTCTGTCAAATAAATAAATAAAATATTTTTAAAAATAAATAAATAAACAACAGCTTTGCAGAATTCCACAAAAGCAGAAAAGACATGGGAGGAACAAGATATCCTTATTATTTGCACTTGCCCTGTTGTCCCCCTTGATAGAGTATTAAGAAAGAACTGTTGCTTATTTTCCTTTCCCCCTCTGGAGAGAGTGGATAATGAGAATATTATGAGGACATCTTCTGGCCTTCCTTCAGAGGCTGATTCAGGCAGAACAAAATGGGAAGGGAAAAGCTTCTCTCTGCCCCTCAGGGCATCAGCAAGTGCATAGATATGTAGAGGAGGGGTTGAGGTCTGCCCTGAATCTGTGTGGGTGCTGCCCAGACTTCCTGACAGCACCCCTTCCTGACCAGTGCAGTGGGACTGTGTGGCCCGAGTGGGAGGCATGATTTCAGAAAGCAGTAGTGGAGAGAGCATGGGACAGAGAAATGTCTGACAATTCTAGAGGAGGCTGTGGTCTCTGATCTTCAACGCCCCTTCCTGCATACCTGGATTGGTTCTTCCAGCTATAGAGCTTGAGAGAAGGCATGAGGGTCTTTCAGCTGCAAGTAGGCAAAATCAAGCTAGGAATGGGGAGAAATCATGCAGTGCTATCTAGCGCCAGGAAACATATGAATGAGAAGTCCCCTAGGGAGTGGCTTCACGGACTTCCAACATTTGGTTAAGAAATATCTTCCTGTGACCTGGATCTTTTTAATTCTGTGGCAGTCACAGAGATGGAAGCTGCCTGGAAGTTTCTAATTGATGGGGACCCCTCCTGCCTTTGGGATTGCAAGCATTATGGCTTTTTTTTTTTTTTTTTTTCAAAATGAGCTCAGTAATGTTAAACTCAACCCCCCCACAAAAAATCTCATAGATATGAAATTTTTCCTTTCTATGCTGTGGATGTCCTTTTCGTTTAATTGTTTTGCTTGCCTAGTTTGGTGTGGCTTAGCCATCTGAAGGCAGTTACCATTGCTAATTCTTGAAAGGGATACAAAATAGGAACGTTTCGGGGCACCTGGGTAGCTCAGTGGGTTGGGAACTCTGCCTTCAGCTCAGGGTCCTGGGATAGAGCAGGCTCTCTGCTCAGCAGGGAGCCTGTTTCCCTTCCTCTCTGCCTGCCTCTCTGCCTACTTGTGATCTCTGTCTGTTAAATAAATAAATAAAATCTTAAAAAAAAATAGGAATGTTTCTAAATTGGAAGCATTTATTAAAGGGAACCTAAATGCAAAATTCTGACTTTATCCTTATCAAATGCTTTTTGGCTACATCGAAGAAATCTGGGAGAAATTTCATAAACATTTTTCGGAGGGCCAGCAAAGAGCGCAAGCCTCAGGATGCCTCCACGAAATGCTTCTTGAACTTGATTTCTGAACAATGCTTTTGCATACTCTGAGTTATTCATTACAGCATTTGGAATTCTAATTACAAAATCCAAACTCTTCTAGATTCTTCTTCTCATCACCACCTAACGTTTCTCATGTGCTTGCCTAGCACAAGTGTTTATTTGCTGTGATAAAACCAGAAGCTGAAATGAACGCACACAGACAAAATAACAGCACTTTAGCTTCTGACTTTATTATTTTCCTCAAACGAACAGGTGAGTAAAACACTGTCTGTGTCCAAAGCAAAAGGCATGGTGCCCTCTTCTCTTCTTTTGGAGAGTGCCAGAAAATGTAAACAGTATTTGGGATGAACTTCTGAGTCTTCATCTTCCGCCAGCCTTTAGAACATCGTTCATTTGTTTGTTTGTACCAGGATTTAACAGCATAAAGAGTAAAACGAACAAATGGTCTGAGGCATTTATACGAAGTGTTCCGACTGTGATACAGGCTTCGTCTGCGTCATTTTTTAGTCGGACAAAGAAAAACACTGCTTCAGGAAGTGGGTCATGTGGGTGTACAAGTGCTTCGTGGACAGGCCGGATATGCCGTGGTTCTGGTCCGAGTACCACTGAAAGGCAAAGAACAGACGCTGGGTCACTCCCGCAGCCACACAAGACACCCAGCTTTGACTCTTCACACTCGCAGGTCCCGACAGTTTTTCTAATAACAGCGATTCAAATTCTACTTAAAAACACTTACTAAGATAGCTCCCATGCTGACATTTAGAACAGGAAGACAATAAAAGACTTTTATTAACCTGGACTAGCCTTTGGAATTCTTTAAGCTTATATTTTAGACCTTGGTGGCTGAGCTCTCACAAGGGCCAGCATCCTGGGGGGGGGGATGAGGGGGGCGGTGGTCAGGCGGCAGGCCTGTGCTCCAGGGCTGGTGTGCTGAGTCCATTGCTTTGTTTCTCTGCTTAGTTTCCTCATTTGAAAAAAATGAGGAGGTTGGATTTGATTTTTCTCTGAGGCCCCTTCTAGTTCAAAAATTCTATGAGGCTGTTAGCCTCTGAATCCAATTCCTCTCTTCCGCAGAAAATCCACAACACATGTAACTGTAAACACCTTTCATAGGGGTTAAACATAGTATCATTAAAAACACCCAGGAAGATGACATTATACATTTAAACGTCATTGTTAGGGAGATGCTGGTGAGATTATTGTTTTCACTGAATAAAGGTAGATATTGGTCGTGACTGAATGCTGTATACCTAGAAGGTGAATTTACATCAGGGGGTTCACCATTAAAAAAATCAGAAAAAAAAATCTCCCATCCCCCTTTGTAAATTATTTTAAAAAGTCCAATTTCCAAAAATGGGGGTTTCCTTTTAGAGGTTCTCGCTCAGGAAAAGCAAGTGAGGGAGAACTTCTGCTCCCTGAGGAGGGGAAGCCGCTGTCAGGGGTTGTCTCCCTTGCCGTGGTTTTCACCTTCCTTTTCTCTCTGTTGTCATTTCCAAGTCTTCATGCCACCTGGATTTTCCAGCTAGCTCATTCATTCATTCATTCGTTCGGGGAACACTCCGGCTTCCGTGCTGGGCCAGGCTTGTGTCAGGCAGTGAGAACACAGGGATAAAAGGGTTCTCTAACTCTGAGTGGAGCCGCCCGACTTCAGGGAGGCTCTGCGGCCACTGATAACATTCCCCAGTCACTCCTTACTGAATACACAGAACCTGTTAGCTGCTCTGGGACTCTCAGCTTTTGTGGGGCTGCTAAGCAGCTACAGTATGCAAGCAGGATCCCAGAACTACTGCATGTTCGAGCTAGAAGATCGTCAATCTCACAGACGCCTTTACTCCAGATAGGACTCAACCGGGATCCCCAGAGGCGCCCTGGCTCACCTCGTGTCCTTCAGGGAGTTCATGAAACACCCAAGACCCACCTGCTAATGTTCTGCCTCCTCTACCCTACAGCCCATTTGCCAGGATGTCATAGAAAAAAAGAATAATAATACTAATGAAAAAATCAGATGCCTCCTTTGAGCTTACGGGTCTAAGGCCGTGAACGGGAGTAAAACGAAATTGTGTACCATTGCCTGGAAATCCACTTGTGCATTAACCAGAGCTTTAGCAATCTGTGCTGAGTTTTGAAAGTGCACATTATCTGCAACAAAGAGAGAGAGTTAAAGGGCTGCTAAATACCAGGAAGCATCGAGTGACAATGTACTGCCTGCAAATGAACACCGACGATTATCTAGTCATGCGGTTGACATTGTCAGCCGTGAGTCTTCGCACTCATTTGTGGGAACGTCCCTGACTCTTAGGTACTGACCCTGAGCACAGGCATAGGAGGATGCTTAATGTTTCTTAAACAAAGTGATGTTGGCTCAGTATTTTTATGTGTAAGAGTCTTGCTTAAACCTCACCATCTGCTGTTCCGTGGATGAGAAGATAGTCTACATTTCTGAAATATTCTGCTCTTGCCATCACAGTTGAATTCTGGAAAAGAGGAAAAATTAACATTTTAGTTGCTGCAAGTTCTAATAGAAAACTAGCTAAATCATTGTGCGATGGACTTAGCACCAATACTGAAATTATGTATTGCTTTGGTTGATAAATATTTAAGAGTCAGAGCAACACATTTTCATCATCATTTGCATTACTTCCATCTGATTCTTAGTTTGAAAAACGGGAAGTTTATGTGTCATATGTTACATATGAGTGAGACCTTAGGCATAAATGATGCCCGCTCAAGCTGTGTAGGGGTTGGGGGTGGGCAGGAGGATGGGGAAAAGGGAGGTGAGGGAAGGGAGGACGGGGAAAGAAAGAAGAGAATCCGAAGAGAGTAAATGTCTTCCTAGTGAGGTGTTTTGCAGCTAACAAAAGATCAGCGTATTCGCTGGGGGACCCAGCAAAAGTGTAAGCTCTGAAAGGCTGCTTCACAATTATTTAGCACGTTTGCAAGAAATCCATGACCTAAATGAAACAGAAAACACTTACTTTATAGTGCTCGAGGTTATCATTCTTTGTTGGGAGGCCCATGAATCGCTCTGTGTAGATAGATGCTGTAAAATATGTAACAATATGTTGTTGGTGTGTGGTACGGGTCATTTCATTAACCGACAAGATCCCTCAGCTTGAAAACTGTCCGTCCCCTTCCCCCCTGGAGATGCGGAGGAAGGTTCCTGCTTTCCTTTACTGTAATTCTCCACCCAAGTCATCTGCTCTGCGGTTTGCCTCAATAGGGCCAGAGAAGCAACGGAGGAGACGGGCACAGCTAACTTTAGAAAGGCCTGACCTTGAGCTTTTCCTCCTCCACCTTTCAGTGGGGGAAATGTTAAACTAGGGAGGACCTTATGGAATGGCCTCGTTGTATTTTAAAAGAAATCACAAAGGCAGCCCCCTCTGGTACTTTCACTGGTGTCTTAAATTAATCTGAGATGGAACCATGTGCCCCAAATCCTCCTCTCCCAACACACACACAAACACACACACACATACACACACACATGCATGCACTCACAAGCACACACATTTTTTTTTTCTGAATAAAGATTCCCTGCGAGTTATAGTTGTCTTATTTCTACCCCAACACAGGGACGAGGATCTGATGAAAGCTCATTTTTGTACAATTATTAGACTTAATTCCAAATAGTCATCCTGCCTGAATGTGAATCATAAAAATAGGCATACACAGGAGGTATACTCCTTAACAAATTTTTTTGTGGCTCTGGCTTCTGGAGCAGTGGACCTGGAGGCTGCAAACTTTGGCACGGAGGTGAAGAGTTTGGCTCCACCCAACTTCGCATGAGATTTATTTACAGACCACATGTGTGCTGCAAAAACACAGACTTGACTCTGGCTTTCAAGGTTTGATGTGTCAGGAGGCACCCCGTTTCAGGCAGAGATTAACATACATTGGGTTTGGAAGACTCTTTCCACACTCTTAAGGTTTCTTTGATTGGTTGCAACATGATGACAATGAATCATATAAACCACCTCGTTTATAGATGGTACTTTCCCTGGTGAAGATGGGGTGAATTTTACTGCATAATTTGTTTTCCTAGCAACCTCAAATATAGAGTAATTATGTGTTAAATGTTTTCGCAGCAACATTTATGAAATATTTCCATACCGTAATATTCCCAGCTGGAGACAGGAGCCACTGCTATCCCACACTTGAAAAGACCGGTTCCTGAAGCAAGGGCCAGTGATGAAACATAGCCTCCATAGGACTGTGGAGACATCAACACAAGTCAGTTCCAGATTTGCTTTCAGAAAGTCTCCAACATCGTTTTACAGCGACTCTCCTCACACTAAGTACTGATGGGAACTGGGGATATGCATGGGGTAGATTAAATGTCTATCTTGGCCCTTGGCAGCAAACTCACAGCATCACTGACACATTGACACAGCATCATTTCACCCCTAGTAAACTAAAAATACTTGGTCTGCTGATCAGAGCATGGTAGGGGCAGTTTAAGAGATATTTATAATTGCAACTTTTCTGCCAAAATTTTTTTCCTTTATATTTTTCCATTGAGGACCTTGCCAGAGCAAAACCAGGATCTTACTTGAAAGAAATGCACAAAGAAAGGACATTATTCCTCAAATGCAAAAGCGAGATACTTTCTATAGTTTGCAAAAGTCCTGTAAGACAATACTCAGGTCTGTGTATTTACTTATGGGTTTTCATCATAGAACAACAAGGGAAGGACATAAGAACCTTTTGGATAATTGAAGACATGGCCAGAGTTTGTGTATAATGTAACATTATATATTCTCTTCTGATGATTTCTGGCATCGCAGCTCAAAGGAGGAAAAGCCACTGGTGTCTTTAAAAGTCTTACATAGTCCCCTATAAACTTAATGGAAAAAAAAAAAAGAAATGCAAAACGAATCAGGAGTAGGGTTAGAGCTCATCAATTTTCTTCTCCAAGGAATCAGGCAGATGATTCAGAAATGTGAACCTGATAGCAGAAGATGTCTGTCCATGTTACTTGGAAATTCGAACCTTTTCCTAAAAGTCGAGAAATGAACACAATAAGGTGGCATTCCCCCCGGAAGTGAAATTTGGGCTGTGGAAACATGCCTGAGAGAGATGCTTCTTCTGGGAATGTGGACAAAGCAGTGCTCTGGGTCCTACCAAATGTGTGTGTTAGATCAGGAAGTGATTCTCAGTGCATGTTCTTGCCCCAACACAGGAACGCTCCCCCAGGTCACCAGAGGACTGTGGAACTTTCCAACTAGGAATGTGCCATGTATTTAGGACCTTATTGCCACCAACGTCTGGAAGCCATTTTCCCTTAGGTCACCCTTTGTCACAGAAAAGTCAGTCAGAAAGGGGGAAAGAGTGAGAGGGAGAGCTTTACAGAGTGGGAGACAGACAGGCAGACAGAGGGACAGACATGCTAATGAGGGCAGGTCAGTGGCTGGGGTCTATTCTTAACCCGCGAAATACATGGAATATGGGGATAAGCTAAACAACTTTGCTGAATTCATGAGTTAAAGGAAGAATTCTTCAACTGGTGTACAGTTGTATGTTTCCAGTTCTGGGGCATTTTATTGAGGACCCTTGGTGACAAAACAGAGAATAGAAGAAGCAGCTTCCAATTATATCATGGCCTTTTTTTAATTATACTTAGAGGAGAACTAAAACATGTTCTAATAGGGGAAAATATATTTTAAAAACAGAAGGAACAGTGGGTTTCAAAATCATTTTGGTAAGTGAAAAATTTCACTTATAAAAATGATTTGCTTTGATTCGTAGGTTAGCAACGACTATTACTGAAATGGAAGTCCTCTCCTTCTTCCTTAATTTTAGGTTCAACCGAGAGGAAAGTCAGCCTGCGTTAGAAATATTGTTTGTGGTTTTATTGGAAAGGGGTGTTTACTACAAGTAACAATGGTGGGTCCTGCTGAAATAGCATGAAGTGAGATTGGAAATGGAAAGCATTTACACACAGTAAAAAGGGTTTTTAACATTCCTGTTCGAAACCTGGCAAATTATTAACCTGTATCTCCTGAGGGATTAGAGAGCAGTGCTGGGACTAAATAAAATTTCCGTGTTTCCAGGATGAATACGGATTGTCTCTAGGAATGTGTAAGAGCAAAACTAGTGTAGCAATAGCACAACAGAAGTAGGTGTTCTTTAAATGCTCAGGCAGCTCAGAAAAGCGATTCCTATTGTAGAAATGAAGAGGAAATAAAATAAACCCGCATTGACTCTTTTTCTGCTCTCCCATGGGTGGGGCTCCAAGGCAGAGTGGGCGGCTGTCGCAAGCAAGGAACCCACGGAGCAGATTGGCCATGAGAATTCTAGAATTTTGTCCTTTGCACTTAGATGCCTTGCCATTTTGTCTAAACGAGGGATATCTTTAAAAACATTCTTAGAAGGGCACAGAATTTTGAGGGGTTTATAGAACGCTCTTATGTGAGCCATAATGCACAGTGGAACATTTTACCTACAGACAGTAATAATGAATAGCTAACATTCGTGGGGCCAAGGCTCTTGAAACCTTCTTTGAGGACCCACACACTCTGCTTCCCTTCTCCCTCCTCGGATGTTCCCCTGACTGTCAGCTCTGCTGGTGCTCTCTACACCCTCCAGGCATGATCTAGCCCCAGGACTTCCACAAACGCTGGTGCCCTCTGCCTAGAACACTCTTTTTCCTGAAAGGGCCATGGCTCACTTCCTCCCATTTCATGTCTTAACTCAAAGAAAGTCACACCTGTCCTTCTCATCTACACTGCACCAACCCTGTATCATGCTCCTTTCTTGATTTGTTTTGTGTTTTACCAGAGCACTTGTCATCGTTTAACATCCTATTCATTGTACTTCTTTGTCCTGCCTATTGTCTTTCTTCCCAACTGTTCCCAAAGCCATAAAGGTAGACATTTTCATCTGTCTTGTTAGTGAATGTATCCCCAGCACTGACAACATGGCCTGGGACATGGAGGGGAGTAGAATCAGTATTTGTCAAGTATGTCACTTTCCTGTTAACTCAGCTCATCCTCACAGGGACCCGGTGAGGAAATCATGGCTGCCTTTCACAATGAGGAAGCTGTGGCCCAGAGGGGGAGTCAGGAAGCAGCAGAGCTGGGATTCAAAGCCAGGACACCTGCCTCCTACAACCCATAACTTTCCTCTCTGCCCTTGCGATGGGGCAAACCTCGTCGGAGAGCTGTAAGTTAGGAGTCGAATGTAGTCTCATTAGAGGTGCATTTGTCCTACTTTTACATCGTTGATTACACATAGCAATTCAAATTGCTTATAATTAGTCACTGGAAGAGAAAGGAACTAAGATTAAATCATGAACTAATGCTTATTCAACACCACCTGGCTAGGCCTATATTAACAAAGCAAGGCCCATAAATGAGGTTGTTATTCTAATAATTTAGGCAAAACCCCTGCTGCTCTTCAATTGTCAGAATAATTACTTCAGTTTTTCTTCACATAAACCAGGGTTTTGCAACCACAGCACAGTTGACATTTTGGGGCTGGATAATTCTTGTTTGTGGGGACCTGCCCTGTGCATTGTGGGATATTTAACAGCATCTCTGGCCTCGACTCATTAAGTGCCAGTAGCACACCCTCCCCACCCTCATGGCGACAACCAAAAATGACTCCAGACATTGCCAAATGTCCCCTGAGGGGCAAGATGGGCTGGTGAAGAACCGGGTATATCAGACACTTCCTAGACATGGTGTCGGGTGCCTAGTGGGTATCTAACAAGCAGCTAAAAACTGAGCTACTGGATTTGGGTGTGAAAAATAAAAGGGTAAGATCAAAATGCCTCCTCTCCCCTTCTTAATCAGGATTATGGAGGGAAACATAGGGTTTGCAGCTTATTTGTCAATTGACTACCAAAAATGTATGGGGTTAGCTACAGTATGTTTCTCAGACCGCTAACTTGCCCAACACTTCACAGGAACAGATGCTTTCTTCCTTGGTATGAAATACAATAATAGCTAGCTAAGTAACACTCGCGGCCATTCTCAACATCTTCCTCTTTTGCATCTCCAGATTGCCACAGGTCCCTGCTTATTATACTAGAAAACAGCACTTGAAGCTCTGACCTCTTCCCACCTCCTACTTCACTTCCTAAATTCAGGCCCTTGGTATTTGTGGCCAATATTACTGCTCACCTAGCTCCTTGGCCCACTCCCTCCCCTCACCTCAGAACATCCTTTACCCTGCGGCCAAGAGTGTCTTTGTAAGACATCAATTCTATTCCCTATTCACTTCAAAAGCACATTTCAAAAAAGTATCCATGGAATCAAATACCTTTTGGTAATACTGTATTAATCAAAATTTAACAGGATTCTTTATTGTTCCTTCATAGAACCGATATACACTATTATGCAGAATTCATGATTTACCAAATTATTAGACCCAGAGGACCTTTTCCTGAAAAAGTCATTGGTACTGATAAGATACATTTGGGAGAACATTGACTTACAGGATTAAATTTAGTTAAAATAACATCATTGGTGTGTGGGATGGCCAAGTATTATGTTAAACATTTGGGGGAAAAAATTAAGAAAACAAAAAGACAAAGTCCATTCCCTTGATGAGGTCATTCTCACGGGAGAAACCAATAGACATACAAAATAAAACACGGTAATTCCTAGAAGAGCAGTATAAGGAACAATTGGAGCACAAAGAAATTTGTATCTGAGTTGGGTTTTAAAGAGTAAGTAGGAGTTTTGCATTTTAGAGGAAGAGGAGCAGAATGGAAGAAGATGGACACATAGCAGGTGCAGAGAATAGGATTCAGAATAGCATGAGAGCAAGAACATGCAGACAGAAGTCAAATCATTCCTAAGGCATGGGGAAAAGTGGAAAGAGATGAAACTGGAAAAAGCAGGTTACAGCCCGATTGTTAAGGGCTTTCCATGCAAGGAAATAAGTTTGGGCACCAGGTCAAGGTCAATGTGTGGTCTTAGAAAACATGTAAGCATATAAGCAGAAAAGCAACATAGTAAAAACTGTGTTTTGGAGTGGCAACTTCATTAGTGACATTGCAGCTTGTGAGGTCCAAACAGGAAAGCTAGTTAAAAGGCAATTGGAATCGTTAAACTGATACCGCCTAATGGTCCATGGACCCAAAGAATCAGCATTACCTGAGATCATGTTAGAAGTGCAAATCCTTGGGACTCACCCTGGACTACTGAATCAGAATCTTTGGTGGAAGGGCCCTGGAAACTGTTTGAACAAGTTCTCCAGACGATGCTTATGTAAGCTACAGTTTGAGAAGGTCTGATCTAAATTACATATGAAGAAACTTGAACTAAAGCACTGGCAGTGGGGATGATGAGAACAGATTTGGGTGTTGAGAGAAATTACTAACCAATGAAATGTTGGAGACGGGGAGCAAGAAAAGTTGAAAATAGTCCTGAATTTACTAATGGGCGTGACTAGGTGTGTGGTGAGGTCCTTTAATAAAGATGAAGACTTGGTTTAAGGAGCTTGTAACAAGTTTAGCATGTATGGGTTAGGCTTGAGGCCCCAGTCAGACATTTGGGATAGATGGTCAGTGAGCACTTGAAATGTGGAGCTCAGAAGAGAAGCAGATGCAAGTGGCAGGGAGTTGACAGTGAGCACCATCTTTGAAATTACATGGGTTTCCCCAAGGAAGTGAAAAACAATGAGAGCCATGGCCAGACCCTGAAAAAGACTGACATTTAAAGAATGAATGGAAAAATTTTAAAAAATAATAAATAAAGAACGAATGGAGTGTAATGATCATGGAGACAAAGTAAAATAAGGGAAATGTGTTGCAGAGTCATAGATAGAGCCCATTCTCCTTTAGGCAGTCTAAAAGTCCTCCTGCTATCTGGCTACCTACCTACTCAAACTCCGTTCTTCACCTTTCTCACTATGTGCCTTACGCTTCTGAAGTTTCCCCCATCCAGACCAACCACAACCTAATCACTGATACTTCAGGACCCGGGCAAAGCTGTCTTCATTCTCTGGAATGCACCATTACTGACCTATCTTCCCTACCTCATTTCTGAATCTCCCCTTAGCTATCACAGCCAGAACTAATCACTCTTCTCCCTGGTGTTCTCTGCTGCCACATTGTATCTGTCTTAACACTAGGAACATTGCTGAGCAATTGCTTTTTTCCTCTCTGTTTTATCTAATAGAGGGCTAGGGCTACAATTTATTCATCTTTCCATCTTCTAAAGAACCTAATATAAGATCTAGTTGAGATCCAATAAAAATTTACTACATTGGTGAAAGAATGCGTGAGTCAGTGATCAGATGGACGGATTAAACAAATCATAAAGAAATCATTTCAAAAAAGTATAGTATTAAGGTCTTTTTCCTTCAGGATCTTCTGGGCCCGGCTGATTTAGGGGCTGCTCAAATGTTGCATCTATCAGCAATTCACTTATTTCTTCTTCTGTGTGTGCTCTCAGGAGTTACCTCACAATCCCTGCCTTGTGGAAAGTAAGCAAGAAAGGGGATCTAATATGCTACATCTTCTAGAAGCATTTTCATAGACATGATGAGAATCTCTTATTGAAGAATTTCAGACTGATATGGATGTATTCTGGGGTGATGTGTGGGTTCTTTAAATCATCCCACATAGATGGTTCTCTACCAAACTAATACCAGGATATTCTAGAAATGAAATTAAAGATTCCGCTTTACGGTTATTTCAAAGCCTGCAGGAAAAGGAAAGTAAAACTGCATGAGAAATGTTAATGATTATACGGAAGGGTTCAGTGTGAAATATGAATCTTTCAAAAATTTACTTCAGGAAATTTCATAAAAATGGATAGTAGGAGAGATCGTATCTGAAATATTTCACTATAAAAATATTTCATTTATTTCCACCCATTTGAATTCCATTCTGTTTAGATATTTAACATTTGATAGTTTTAAGAAGGACCAAATGGCTTGAAGTAACAACTTTCCACAAATTCATAACAGCTCTTCATCTGGTCACTGAGCTGAGAGCTGAGCCGGAGCCTGCAGGCTCCCTTCAATATTGGGTTTCATTCCCTCCATCTTGTGCAGGCCGCTCTCAGAGAAAACAGCCAAGAAAAACAACCCAAGCACAAATGGCTGCAAATTGACTTGCAAATGTACAAATTCAGACCAAAAAGTGAAACAGGAACTCTTCTTTGAAGGGTAATTATCATAATTTATAATGGGCAAATCTAAACTCTTTCCAATATTTCTCCAAACTTTCCAGTGACTTCATTGCCCATGATTGGGAAGTTTTGCCACTTCCTTTTAATGTGTATTTTGAGAACCTGCTTAGCTTCTCACACATGGGCAATTATCTCCATGACCTATAACTCAGAAACTAAATTATACTTTTCTCCCATTAGCACAAATTAATATTAGGTCTGGTAAAATAATTTGATTACAAAAAAAAAGAAAAAAGAAAAAAAAAAAGAATCAAAACACCCAAGATATGACTGGGATAGGCTAGGTACTAGGGAATTTATATTTTAAAAGTTCCTATGATTTCAAATGTTAGCTTAGCTCTTCATAAAAATGAAATGATGAAATGAAAAGATATACAGTAACTCTGAAATAACCAAAGAAATTAAACCTCTGATGAATATAGTTCAGTTCAGTTCATACAAAAAAAATAAGTAAAAATGTGTCAATTATGAGTTATTTTGCTATATGAGGAAGAAACTAACTGGTTGGAAAAAAGGAACGCTTAAAGCCACCACTTTGAAGCCTAGATTATCCAAACTGACTGTTTCCATTGGCAGATTAAATGATGTTGCAACATTAACATTTCATGAGAAACCTTATAAGCGCACACTTTAGAAAATTATGATTGCTGAACTGAATAACAGGCGTAAAACATATAAAACAACTCACCCAGCCCCATATGGCTATTCTTTTTTCATCAATGAAGCCCATTTCTATGAATTTTCTAAAGTAAAAGAAACAAATTTTTAGAATTTTAAGTGTGTACACATGACATTTACTTTATTACACAAGCATATTTAATCCAAAGATTTAATAGAAACGCTCCATTTTCTTTGTTTAAACACATGCACAATAACACTGCACTTACAAATAATTAAAAGAATATTATCATGTTTTCTGCAAAAGATAAAATGGATCCTTTGGATTCTACCGTACATCTGTTGGGTAGTACTTCTAGGGCTGCTGGTCTAGTATCCTGATTGCCTGAGTGAGTTACCTGGGACTCAACAAGGTCAAGACCCAGGCTTAACAGTAACACAGGAAGTCACAGCACCATGACTAGGACCAAATTTTCAAATCTCCAGATTTGGGGAAAAAAAAGATTTTTGTTATTGGATGCTTTAAATTTTATCAATTTTAAATGCTTAGATGTTAATGATAATTACTACCTCGTTTTTGGTCACTTTCATCCATGGAAAAATATCCATCCTCTCCCATTTCACACTTAGGTACTCTCAATTTATCATGGTGTGGATAATTATGCATGTCTTTTAGGATATGGACATGATTCATTTGTGTTCCATCACAGAAGAGCCTTCCTTTGGAAACTCTTTTGAAAATAAATTTCTTAGGAGCAAGGGACCATACTGAAGGGCAACCTTTAAAAAGTCATGGGAAGCCTTCAGAAATGCAACTTTGCAAGCTGGTACAAGATAGGAATGTTTTAGGCTAATTTATCCCATGCCTCCTTGAGGATGGTGTTTTAGAGCAATTGTGATTTATTTTGGGAATGGGTTGATAAAATCTCAGGGAACGCTCAAAAAAAAAAAAAAAAAAAAGCAGTGAAAAAAAGTGAGGCGGGGAAGAAAAAAGTAAGGCGGGGAAGAAAAAAGTAAGGCGGTTGAGCCATTGCAGAGACCCGGATGTGACAGTAACAGGAAGGAGGGGAGAGAACAGAGTAACACAGAGGGAGCTAGAAAAATACTATTTTTCTTGTTCCCTTTAGTTATGTTAATGCCCTTTCTCATTCTTCTCTGGAAGTAAAAATGGAGTGGTTTCATTAGTTGAATAATGAAGTTTCTTACAGGGATTTCACAGCAACCATTTTGCTCGTTGCATGGATTCAACATGCACGTTTCCAATGCACAGAGTAGTTGGGCAAATGCCCGGGACCAACAGATGGGAAGAAGCCCCGTCAGTCACAGCTTACCCTACACCGATTCTGAGGGACACTGAGGAGTCTATGGGGAAGAGATGCAGCAGCAAATGGAAAGTTGCTACCTGTGTGGATGCTGTTCATGATAAAACAGAGAAAATGTACAGTAAACTGTAGCATTTCAGCAATTCTTCCGTTAACTTCAGAAGCCAAATGAAAGAAGAGCAGGTTCACTTTCTTTGTTAGAAAAAGAAAAACTTTCCATGAGTGCTGGAAGACAGTTCTGAGCCATAAAATCAATTTCAATTTTATGATCTCCCAGAAGCTAGCAATCATATTGCCTTGCATCTGGGGTAAAAGCAAATAGCAGGTGATACATGGGAGCAGGAAATTCTTAACAGCTCCCTTCCTTGGTTTATTCTGGAAGGATGACATTTACAGGAAATGATAGTGCAATAGTTAATGTGGAAATGAAACATTAACACTTAATGTGGCAGGACTAGGTTAAAGGTTAGCTAGATAATCTGAGCACTTCCAGGCCAACAAGTCTCCATAAAATTCACCTCCAAATTCTCAAGAGCTCTCAGAAGGGTTATCAGAAACACTGTTGATCATGTAGTTAAAGAAAAATGTTAGTAACAGATGAAAAAACATTTTGGAGGCTGGACTGAACTTTACATGTTTTCTTGCATAAAAATGGCCCTAGACAAAAGGTCAATTTGGAATCCTAGGGATCAATTCCTATTCTGTTTTGGAATTGTTTTTATTGATACCATGTATAAGAGTATGATACGATATTTTCTCACCAACAACCTTCTGGATATTGTGGGAAGTGTGGGAACGTCAAAAGTGCCATATATACCCCAAATGAGTAGAACTGACCCTGTAACTAACAAACATTCATGGGTCCTACCTATGTACCATTTGCTCGGAAGCCTAAGGGAAGCAGTTCCTAGTTTCACTTACGTTTTGACCTCACAAGCCTCTCCTTTGAAGCATTCTCTTTTGTGTAGTCAAAGTTGTGAGATTGTCTGGCTTCTTCTTCTTCTCCTTCTTTTTTTTAAGCCTGCTTTGCTTTGTTTAAATCTATTTATTGACCCAGACAAGTATTTACTGTTGTTTCCAAATATGTACACATGATTTCCTTTAGGTATGTTAAAAAATTTAGCCAGATTGCATTTTATATGAGATCGAAGGGGACACATTTCATTTTCTGGTGGGAAGGTAATTTGAGGGTGGCCATAAAGGCATTACAATCCCAATTCCCATGTCAGACATTCAGTGTCTGATTCCTAAAACACTTCTTGGGATTATCATTATAAATCTACCCTTTTTAGCTTTTGTTTTCTCAAGGCATCTGGTTCCAAGGTGTCCCTTTCACTTTTGCAAAACGACGCTTTCAAGCAAAGCCAGGCCAGTCCCAAGTGCATCTCCACTGTTGTGTATTTGCTTTGCACAGGCCACATAGCCTCCCCTGGTTCACTAGGCTGTTTACCAAAAGTTCCATCTAATAGCAATGCCATCCCTTCACAGTGTGGGGGTGGGGTTGCAGGGGTTAACCCTTTTACGAAGATTGTAAGTGCACTGAAAGTAGAAATGGTAAGTTGCACAATTTTATACAGAGTGGATCGCTATGGCATATATTAATATTTGATCTGTTGTTGTCGAATGGCTGAGCAAATGACTGAACATATGCCTGCTCTATAGCAGGAAGACTTTCTTCAGATTCCATCCTAAAAATGGCTCAGAGAAGGTAAAGGTAGCCAACTACTGCCTCTGGTCTATCTACAGTTCTAAATGCCAAAGACATTTATATTATTGTGAAAATTGGTACAATTTGTGGCTTCATGTCCTATATATTGAACATCAGAAATAACAATTTTCGTTCAGGCCTCTACACGGGTTTCAGGTTTAAATTTTCATTCCATCCAAGAAACGCGATAAGAAGCTATCAGTTCTCTTTCTTGAGGTATTCTTAAATGCAAATGCTGCAATTTGGGTAGTAAATGAGTGCACTCAGAAATAGGATGATGTATTGTGTTGTTCTCAGTAGATTGTGATGATGGTGATGATAAGTTTGTTTTTTAACCAGTGCCAAAACAAACCACTTTTGAGTTCTACCAACTTTGGAAAAGATCCGGTTGAATTACAAATGAGGTGTAATCTACATCTGGCTTTTGATGTAGTCCCAGGGTTGTGGTGCCCTTGGTGTTTCCTGCATATTCTAAGTACAAATAGATCTAACCCACAGGGCAAAAAAATAAAATAAAATAAAAATAAAGAAAAAAAATTCCTTAAAGAATTAGGTCTGTAACACTGACAATGGTGTTCATATTTCCATCAAGGCACACGGCAGCTTTATGTGAGAAACCAGTCTCTTGGTAGATTTTTCTTCGAGCTATCTCTTCTATACCTCTCCATCAGGCAGAAGATTCTCCTAAACAGATTAATAGCAGACAGGCCAAAAATCTGGATCAGCAAGAAAGAGGGAGCCTCTTAGAAATTAGGCATGAAGAATGCCCACAGATTGTGCAGTGTTATTTAATAATCCACTTATTCACTTGTCAGATTTTACTCAAATAGGCTGCTTTTAATTGAATATTGTATATGTGTGTGTATATTACTGTTCACAGAATGGAAGGAAAATTTGAAAACAGATGGGTTATGATTACTTTTCTATTTTTAAAAATAATTACTTGTGAGTCTAAACTCTTCTGGTGTGATTAGAGACAAAAATACAGAAAAGTATTGTCTGGGCCTGGCTCCTAGCTGTTAAATACAATCTTCATTGTGTATGCTATACTGAAATCAGTAACTAATAATGACATTACGATGATCAAAGGAATTTACCAATGAATTTTCTAAATTGCTCTTTGCTGTGAAACAGTGTTTGACCTTAGGCCATTATGCACACATATACATCCATGACTAAGGGTCCACTTGGCCTGTGTTAGCTTTTACATTTGTAAACTACTATTCTCTAACTTTACATACCTGCAGCATAATAACAGAAACACAACAACTGTAGAGAACTATCCATAAGAATCAATCACAGTGTTTCTAAATAAACAACGATTTTGGTGACTATATTCTTTTTGTTTCAGAAAAGATGACGGAGACACAAATTATGATTGAGTATGTAATTGAGAAGAATTCAGATTATGAGTCTGTCTTCCCTATGAATGTTTCCATAATATAATTTGTACTACATAAAATGAATTTTTTGTCAAATGAAAACAGGAAAACACTTTTATGCTAACACAGCCGAACTTCCCAGCTAGCTTAATTACAAAAGACTGTCTAGCATCTGTACGGATAGAGTGTTGATGAAATCTTGGGAGGAATTTCTAAATTTATGAGCCAGAATCCACAATGCTTGAGCAAATTCAGATGTTTGGTTGTCTATGGACCATCCCCAGAGTTATACAATTTTTTGTGTGGGAACCATGTGAATAAATGAAAGGATATCAGAATGACTGTAACATCAAATGAGAGTTATTTGTCATTTATCACTATAAAGCATGTTTCTACATATTTATTAGTTCTTTTCCATCAGTAATTTTTTTCTCTTATTGGGCAAAAATATCTCTTTAAGATTAATGGTAACTTTTGATGAAGTTAGGAAAATAGACAAGAAGAATGACATCATTAAAGATGGAGAAACCCAACAGTGATTGCATGACTTTTGTTGCACATCAATTTCTGTTTGAATAAGAAGGTGCTCACCTGACAGCTGTGATCTGGTCCTCAACTTCATAAACACCCAGCTTTCGATATACTGCATACAGAAGTTTGTCACCTTGGAAAGCTGTTCCTCGGCCATCCACCAAGGCAATGACTATCCCTTCCCTACTTGCAAGATAAGAAATCCAACTAATAGCGAATACAGACCTTACGCTCTGACTGCAAGGACCACCATACCTAAAGAAAAAAAAAAAAAAGAATCTTGGATTCCTTTGTAAAACTCAACTTCACATCATGGCTAAGAATTGCCTTTAGTATTTCCCAGTACATTTGTATAATAAAATTTCAATAACAGTGGCATTAGAACTGGCTCAAAATCAAGAGAGGACCAGGCTTTTCCCAGAGGTTTGCTACAAGGAAGTTGTTTTGGGACACAGCCTCTCCTATTCCCCAAAACGGATACATCTAGGGTTGGCATTTCAAGGAATATGTGTGGGTTTTTCGTCATTTCTGCCACCTGCCACTTGCTAAAAGCAGGCATAAGATATACTAAAAAAAATGCATGGTGTTTTAAGCAAATTGTGTGTAGGTCAGCACTGATTTTGGGTGTGATTCCACTAAATGTATTCCATTCCCTTATTTCATTTCTAACTCACTTACATAAGACATTAAGATGATTTACAATATTTTTTGGCTGCAATTTCTCTATCTCAAAGGTATTCTGACACATTCGGCAATTTGCCATACAAAGGAAATTCAAGACAGCGAATGCAAGCCAGTCCATCTAAAATCCCCAAACTTCCTCAATCTATTTTAAATAGCCATATTTTATTTACTCTGATTAGTTGAGGAATATATAAAAACAGCATCAATAGGAACTGTTACCAAGGAGAATGGTTCATTCTATCTCATAAATGTGTATTTAATTCAACATATTTTCAGTAAATAGTTTTTACACCAAAGAAAATATTACATACACTTGAATTAGCAAGGGATACTTCTTTGATCTGTCAAATTGAGGAGGAAGAATCATCTTGTACCATAAAGCTTGGGGGAAAAAAAAGAAAAATCTTCATTCCACTATATTCATAGCATTATTTATTTTTCTTTAATAACATGATAACAAAATCAGTTCATAACTAGTAAATTGTAAAAAATCAAGAATATAAGTTGATTTTTATTACATATTTTTGCCAAGTTTATAAATTACAGAAATTTTGAGTTATTGTTTTACTAGAAGCATACACTCTAAAATTAAAATTAGATAAATTCTTTTTTAAAAAATACTAGTGTTGAAATGGAGCTACAGAAAAGTATAAGATCAACTCTATTTACAAACATATTAAAGATCTTTTGTGAAACTCTATTGTTACAATAAGATTGTTTTACTTAAGATTTGATATTATAAGGTTTGGATTATAATATTTACTCTATGCTTTTTGAAAAGAAAGCAAGATAAGTGTTCAGCTTCATATTTGTAAATGAGAAGTTTTTAAAAGATCTTACTAATGTCATCCACTTCAAGTTTCTTTATTTCCTCCTTAGGCAGCTGGATATTTTTCAAAGCATTTTCCAATTCTTTGTTTTCTTCCAGGATTCTAATTTCTTTAAAAAAATAAAATGTTCATTTTTCAATTAATAGCATTCCAGAAGAAAATTCCTTTCTTAAAATTCTTTTGGCTTTAACATAGATGAAACTGAAGCTGTATAAGGAACTGTATAAGAAGTTATATATTGACAAGTATATTTTTAACCTAGCCTTTAAAGCAGGTATGAGTGTATGAGGACATTAATCATTGCCTCCTGAACTGATCTTTATGGCATCAAAACACATTTTGGGCAGATTCACAGAGGCAACAATGTTTATTCACCATATTTTCCCATCTCCAATTTTCTAACATGAAGCTATGACCTGAGTGGGGACTTTTTTTTTTTTTTTCATCTACTAAGAAAAAAAATGTAGTAGAAGTAAAATCTATATTGCTGAGATCTCAAATTAAAATAGGGGTGCCTGGGTGATTCAGTCGGTTAAGCATCCAAGTCTTGATTTTGGCTCAGGTAATGACCTTAGGGTTGCTCAGCAGGGAGTCTGCTTGGTTGCTCTTTCTCCCTTTCCCTCTGCTCCCCAAACCCACTCCTGCTCATGCACGCATGCTCTCTCTTTCTCAAATAAATAAATATTTAAAAAATGATTATGTAGTCAAAATTTGTTTTTAAATTTTCAATGTATAAAGTCAAATACTCTTTCTGTGATTTTTTTTTTTTTTTGAGAGAGAGAGCAGTGGGGAGGGGCAGACACAGAGGGAGGGAGAGAATCTTAAGCAGGCTCTATGCCCAATGTATGAGCCAGATTCAGGGCTTGATCTTACAACCCAGAGATCATGACCTAAGCTGAAATCAAGTCAGACACTGAACTGACTGAGCCACCCGGGCACCCTAACATATATTTCTTCTTAAATCTTTTCCTTTTGTACTTAACTAATATAGGATATGCCTCCCTTTTTTGTAATTGAATTATTGTACATCCTATCCCTTCAGATCATTTTTGTCAAGGTAGTTATACATCTTAGTAAAATAACAATATATGCACGCTCTGATCTCTTTCTGTTTTTCACCTTAAAGGATCTTCAAAAAACCTGCTGCTTATATTTGTGCTTAATTATGTTTCACACGTTAATCTTTGAAACTGAACCATCTATTGATCTCCTGATGCTGTAGTTTGGTGGTATATGCAAATGAGTTTCTAGCAAGTGAGGGCTTTTTGCAAGTTATATTTTGAACTAGAATGGATTCTAGTTATCTTCTAGAGAAAAGATAGATTTTCATATAGCATGTGGGGTTTGTCAATTTATTTTTCTTAAAAGAAGGTCTGGGTGACTTCTGAGATACGGCAGTTTTTACAAAAGACATCCTGTGAACTTCTTGTTTTTGTGCCTTTTTAAAAGTGGTCCTTGAAGATAGGGAACTGGAGGAGTACTTGTAACTACAGTAAGTTTGCCAAACCACTTCCCTTGTAACTCTCAGTTTTCATATACTCATGGCATTTTGTTCCAACATGTTATATTTAATCTTAGAATAAGTATAGATGTTTTGGTATGAGTTGTATAAGATACATAATAAATTTCATTTTAACTTTGGATAATTCATCAGGAAAGAGATACTTGTGGCATCTTAAAAGTTAAAATAGAAAAAAAAATCCAAAAACCCCAAAAAACAAACCAAAAACCCCCCACCAAATATACAATTCTAAGTACAATGGGGCCAGCTCTTCATTCTCCTTGTGTGGGTTCTATGTGTGGAGCTATTACGGATGAAGGGAATCCTGAGTGGAGCAAGTGCACAGAGTGACTGCGTTATAATTGATTATTTATTTATTTTCATATTTTACTTATTATTATATTTATAATTTACTTATTTACTTTTATCATTTTACCAACAGGTACTGGAAGTTGGAAACTCTACCCAAGTGTTGCCAGGTTGGTTAGAGTTTGATTCCTCCATCCTTTTCCTAGCTATTGAACTTTCCTGATTCACGGCTTACTGAAATGCCAAAGTTAATTCATAAGCTTATTAATGCTCTATAGTTCAGAGAAGTATCTGTACATATGGTAACTTGGCAATTTTCCCACCCCTTGGAGCAAAATAGGATCTCATAGGCCTGTCAGCAGAGGGGGTGCCTACTGGGTTTCTCCATGTGGCTTTGCATTCAAAGCCTGTAACGTGGAAAGAAGGCTACCGCCCAGAGCACCTTTCACCTTATTTCACTCATCATTCTGTACTCGGTCCCTAGCATACTTATTACCCAGTACGTGCTATGTGTGCGTATGTGCTCTCTGTTTGTGGACTCTTTATTATGATGAAATAAAAAAGGAAGAATGATGGATCATGTAAGAATTTTTTGTTTTAATTATATTAGCTACTATATTTTGCCCACTAATTAAAGTATGTGAAGTATCTGTGGAAAAGCTGATAAATGAGGTCATTTGATCAGTTGGGTAATTGTAATGAGCACCTGTGCCTGAAGCAACTAAGCCTCCATTAGGATGTCTATGTCAAGTGTCAACTCTTCCGGGTTTCTAAAGCACCTGGTTCGGGTCCGGTGTTATTTTCAAATGCTCTTACCCCACTTTGCTGATGAAATGAAGCCACTGCATAGTTCTCTGCAATGTCTACAAACTTTTATACAATTACATTAGTAATTTCTTCATTCTCACTCAGCACAATGCCAGAGATGAATCTCCTCCTGTCTCTGGACCCCTTTTTCCCGACTTCTTGGGGACCTCCCTCCTTTATGTCTTCGACCCTTTCTGGTCTCCTAATTTATTCCATCAGCATTTAAACCATGCTTAAATGTTTATTATCTTTCAAAAAGAAATTAAACCTCTATCAACTGCTTCCAGTCATTACCCCACCTCTGTCCTCCTCTCCTCAGGGAGGTCTACTGAAAAGATTCTCTTTTTACTTATGTCCTATCAAGCCTAAACTTGCTTTAGTCTGGCTCCCACCTCCACTGTTTCTCTGCAACTGGTCTGACCAAGCCAATGGTAATCTCCCTCTTGCTAAATTCATTGATTCAGGGTGGGTATCACTTCACTCCCTGTAGCACTTGACACGGATGAGCCCTCCCTCTTTCCTGAGATTCTCTCCTCCCTGCATTCTATGATACCCTACTCTCAAGGTTATTCTCCTTCTGTTCCTCTCTCTGTCTCCTTCATAGGTTCATTTTTCTCTTCCCATTTCTCATGTTGGTATTCCACACAGCTTTATTCCTACTCTGTGGGCTTATCCACTTCCATGGTCTTAGTAACCGTGGATTTCATAAATTAAAATGAAATGACTTCTTGTTCCTCATTTTCAATCCAGTGTCCAGATCCAAAACTCTGTCACTCCAGGAGAGCTCCACTTGGCTATCCCATCAGCATCTCAAGCTCAACATTAAAAACAAAATTCATCATCTCCCCAAAAACATTCTTTTGGCTGCAAATCCCTCTTCCAGTAAAAAGCATTAATATCAATCCACTTGACCAAGCCAGACATCTAAGCAGCATTAATTCCTCCTTTATATTAGTGAGTTTCCAGTTTGATCTATCAATCATTAGGAGACACTTCCTAACCCCCAAGCCCCAGATATAGTACTCTGCTTATGTGATTTCCTGCTCTTTTTCCTCCAACCTAATCATTTATTCCACTATATTACCCACTCACATGTTTGCATTCTCCATTGATTTATAATCTCCTTGAGGACACGGACCATATCTAATCTGTTCATTTTTAAGGATCTAGTATCCAGCGCAATGTCTGACTTAATGTGATAGGCGCTTAATAAATATCTGTTGTGTAAAGATTTCTGGCACCAAATGCAACAGAAAATGAGTGAGGAAAAAAAAAAAAAAAACAACCCTGCCGATAAACAGAAGACCTAGCATCAGCTCTAAAAAGCTGCTTATCTGAGAATTATTTAAAATTTCAGATTCCCTAGCCCAATCTAAGATCTACTGAACTGGAATTTCTGGGGAGGGCCTGAGCATCTGTATTTATAATAAACGTCTCTGGAGAATTTCATCACGAGGCGAGTTTGCAGAACTGTGTTCTAAAAAAATCACATTCTATTCGAGGGTTAGAAAACATATAAATACATATGAGAAATGAGAGTGACATGAGCACTGCACCTATTTTCTAAGTATTGGGTGAAGTAATAACACTTTTGTATGCAGTACTGAAATTGGTATCTGGCAGGAATAGGAGAAGGATAATAAGAATGTGGAAATTCATGCTCTGAAAAAAGGAAGGCTGACCTTTAGCTGTCATGATAAAATGGGAATCATACATTTATGGGAATTTCCATTAAAACAAAATCTTACAGATTTGAATGTAGTATTGCTTTAAAATGTCTCTTACTGAAGGTTGAGATGAGCCATGCTGAGAAATACAATCTTTTATTCTTAAAGATATTTCATTATTAGACATGAGGAAAAAAAAAAAAAACCAACCAACCAACCAACCAACCAAACAACAAAAAAACCCCCACAACTTCAAAATGACACTAAATTCATAGCACCTCTGTTATAATACCTGTCCTGCCCAGAGCTTCTGAATTGACTCTGTTTTTCCTCATTACCTTATTTTCACCTATTTTATTTGAGCCATTGTGTTGGCAATCAAGCTAACCCCTGAGCAGTCTCCTGAATTGTCACCGAAGCTGTCCAGGGAGGAGCACAGGCTCGAGTCCTGAAGTCCCTCATTATCCCTCGTCTCCCTCAACTTCAACCCTACAACGTTGTTCAGCACTAAATCAAAAGACACAGGGGCAACTGTGGGAAGAGTATGGGGGCAATCACACACTCAGATCACTCTGGTGAGAGCAACGATGGTCATCTTTGATCTGTGAAGTATTTTGAACCAATATCACAGATATGGGTTGGAGGAGGACTGTCTTGATAATAGCTGAAAATGGGGAAAGCCTCTAAATTTGAGGGATTTCATTCGTAGCAACAGTGTGATGTAGCTGTTAGAACAAAAGAGCCAGCGTGATAGTCAGACACCCTCTGCTTTGAACTGGACTTAGATCTGGAATTTGTCTCTAGTTGGAATGTTGCAGTGAAGTAGAAATTCTTATTTGGGAGAGAGGTTGTGCTAAATACCTAAGTTTCCTTCCAAAGCTAACCGCCTGTGTTTTTGATAAAGCTGACTGGGGAAGACAGCATGGATCTCTGTGATATAACTCATCTGTGTGATGCCAGGTTCTTACTGCAAATAATATTAGATTTCAGAGGGTCAGATTTGACTCAAAGGATATCCAAGTCTATGTGACTATAGGCTCTATGACCACAAGATTCCAACACAGTTTCCCTTGTTGGTGTGGGGAAACTGTCTTGCTGCCTCCAACATAATGTCACCCAGAGTTCAGGATTTTTTTAGACAAGAGCATGCAAGTTAGCGTACCTTGATCAGTGTGGCCGTCATGAAGGGTGGAAATCGGGAGGCCGGGGCCTGTGCACAGCATGAAAACAAAAACATGCTTTAGCATAACACTGAGTTTCCGATAAGATACTGGTCATATTTGTGATTAATGTCAAGCTCAAGTATATCTCAATTCTACAGCTACTTTTTTTCCCATGGAGAAGTAAATATCACCTTTTAAGTTACATTTAAACAACACGAGATCAGAGCTCAATTAAAGAATAGATGTGAGAGAAGAGTTGCTTGTGAGCTTTTCCAGGAGTGATCTTGAATAGCCCAGATCTCATTACACAAATGGCCCACAGGATCTGCCATGATAAATGGCCATCTGAGAAGACATCATGTTGTAAGGGCTAGTATTAGCTGTGTCTTTATTATCTGATAATCTTCACCAGCACCCAGATGGTACTTTCCATCTGGCTTCTTGGTCCAATGTTCATTTTATTTTGGTGGGTGGAACCCATCACCTCCCCCACCACCTTGTAATCAATAGATGCAGAGATAAATGTATATAGAATCTGTTACCTATAGGCTGTGGTAGGTGACATTCCCTGGGAAAGAGAATCAGAAGTTTTGTGGCCCAGAGGTTTTCCTGGGGGGGAGTATTAGGATGCTCACTTCTGGGAAAGGAAGGATGGGGTGGTGAGGGAAGGTAGGCTTTAGTGCAGTCAAAACACAAACCTTACCAGACCCCAAAGGGAATCTGGAGCTGAATGGTTGGCAGAAAGACCTCCATGTACCAACATGGCCAGCTTTTATACCCCATATTGGAGCAGTCTTTGGATGCAGCATGGGATGAGATCGATTCCTAGGGTGGAGGCTCAGCTGTGAGCTGTCGGTGGCTACCAGCACTCTCAACAGCTGGTGGAATGAGGGATTCGGTCCTAAGTGGGGGGGTTCTGAGTGGCATACTAGTGTCCACAATATACCACAGTACAGAACTTGGGTGCTCTGTGCAGAAACAGGCCATTTTAACAAGATCTACAAAAATTAAACACTAATTATCTCTAACTTACTTGAACCATAAAATAAAATAATACCTGGAATTATACTTTTTAATTTTTTTTAATTTTTGTCAAGTAGGCACCACACTCAATGTGGACCCCAATGGGGGACTTGAACTCAATGACCCTGAGATCAAGACCCAAGCTGAGATCAAGAGTGGGAAGCTTAACTGACTGACCCACCCAGGGGCCCCTCAAAATATACTTTTAAAGGATAAATTTGTTCTGGCAGTCAATGGGTTAAAAGACACATCATGGAGGTTGGGGATAGAGGTTCATTTGAACTCCTGATGCTTCTTCCTTCTTTGTGGAATATCATTAGAGTAGCACTCTGGATCCCAAGCAAGCTGAAGGGGGATAACCTTTTTGATGAGTTCTCAGAAGACCTGGCTATAAGTAACTCCTTCTTCTGCTTTGTTCCTGGCTTCTTTCTGCCTGTTCTTGAAGGGATCCTCAGTGCTCTAAGTGGAACAATGCTGGGGTCTGTGGGGGCAGCCAGTCGCTGTCTAGTTGCAGCCATATTTGTTTAATTGTAATTCTGAGTAACCTTTACAGGTAATAAAGCTGATATTTTAATTTCCTGCCTGACTCCTCAGCCTGACTTGAGTGTGAGGAGAAGGGATATCATTTATTAGGCTTTCTCAAAAAATAATTCTCTATTGTGTGGAGTTTCAAAATTTTATAGAATTTAATTTCAGAGATTTTCATTTTGACCACCTTTTCTTCAAAGTTATTAGAAGGCACAAACACATATTATATTTTTGGTCAAAATATAAGGAAATGAAACATGAATCTGAATTTCTTGACTTCAGTCAACCAGCAACCACCCTATGGAATTTTCATGGGTATGCAGCTCTAGTAGTGACAACTAGCATATCTTTTTTAGCCAAATTCTGAGACAGACTAATGACTGTCCACTCTGGATACAAATGGCCTGAGCATGTGGTTGCAGTGGCTTAAAAGCCTCGATTGTCTGGAGTCCCTCCTTTGCATTACTTCTGTTTCATCAGCATCAGGAAGGGGATTTTTACCTATTTAATCCTATTATCTGGGATTTACTCACCATCTCTTGGAGAGTTTGAAGTTACATAATGAGGCTTTACTCTTAGTCCTAAAGGGAAAGATTTCAAGGTTTTTCTTATGATGGCTCAGTGACTCATTTTACTGGAGCTTCAAAAACACCAGACGATGTGATGCTTCCCACACAGTATATTTTTTGCTAAATGGGAAATTACCATACTGCCGAGCAAGAGTGAGTGTGGAAAAGTCAGGCGATTCAAGTTCTAGAAAGGACTCTTCCACCAACTTTTGAGGAGAGCTTAGTCTTTGCTTCCTTATCTTTCCAGTGGGCACTCAGACTCAGGCAGATATTAGGAAGACAAAGTGATATAAAAAATGGTAGAGTGCTTTCAAAAAGGTTTGAAGCATTATACAAATGCAGAATGCATAAAAATATAAACGAATGTATGCAAGTGTGGGGTCACTGAGGTCTCAGTGGGTAAAAATGTCAGCGTAAGAACAAGTTTTTTGTAAGGCCTTGCAAAAGGCAATGGGCTTTGATCTTCTTTAGCACCAATGTCCATTCAACCATTATGCATTATGCATAATTATTGTGCAGTAACCATTTTTCTTGGCCTTATGAATGTAAAGATGAAAAGAAAGGAGCCTCTACCTTCAGGAGAGAAAGACAAACAGATGACTCAGTATAGTTAGTTCAATGATACTAGATGCCTGGCATGTAAAGCTTTCAAATGTTGAAAAATTTGCATATAATTTGAGTTGGGTTGAAAAATGTTGCATATAATTTGAGAAGGACATTTAATATATATCTTTAAGTGCCATCACCACAATCAGTGCATACAGTCAGGAACAGTAATCTCTTGGCTTTTCAAAGATGTCATTGACTCAACATTTTGTGAAAGTAGTTGTATCAAACTGACAACTCGTGCCGTTCTTAAAGGGACCATTTGAGTTAAAATGTTTATTCACTTCTACAGTCACTTGAGCAGGGGCTGGGGTTCTGGAGCCAGGTGATAGGGATGAGGAAAGTGGCACGACAAGGCAGCCTTCCTTTTAGGAAGTAAAGAACGTGGGGTCTGCCGAAACTTGTCAGGGATCTCCATCAAAGATTCCATTTGTTGTCTCAGCTACCTTCCACTGGGAGTTGATACCAGAAACAGTAGAGTGGCATCTAGCTCATAATAACATACTCTGTCGGCTGTTCCTCACCAGGAAAACTCAGGGATTAGTTAGGGGGATGGGGTAGAGAATGGAAAAATAGATTATTTCTCAAGTCCGTTTTCCAAATCTCCATGATGCCTACTGAGACCCCAACATATCTCATTGATCTACTGATGCCTAACTTAACCTTTTTCATGGCTTGTCATATGTTCAAGATATAGATAAGGTGTTATGCATAAAATAAAATTATTTGGATGGAAATTATTCACTAAGCTTACACATGGCCTAAAAAACCTGGAAGTATTTGGTCTACTTTATTCCTTATGACCTTTTACTATTTGAATGAATTACTTATATTTCCCTAATTTAGAAAGGACCTATGAGGTGACAAAAGTTTACTTTCCATCCTTCCTGAAACTATAGCTCAAAGAAATATTGGCCTCCAAGGGAAGGAGTTCAGGTTTCTAGGACTTTATTCTTTACCCTGGCTGTTGGAATTTGACATTTCTCCAGGCAAATGGGGCCAAAGTCCAGCAACCATTTTAATAGGGATGGCTTCTTTCTGTGATACTGCTCAAGTCTTGCTTGGGTAGCTCGTGTTTGCATATAACGTTAACGTCATGCTGCTGTGGCACATGGTCGGCAAGAGCTTGGGATCTACAGTCAACACCTCCCTGCTTCCATTCTGGCTCTGCTGCTTACCAGCAGTGTGGATCATTTGCAAGTCATTCTATTTCCTCAACTGCAAAATATCGGGATAAAAATGCTCTCCAATCTTCCTTTCATTTTTTTCCCCATAAGCGTTAGATAAGATAACATAGGTAAGATCCCCCATATATAACAAGTGTCTGATAACCTGTAGTTTAGGATTGATCAGAGGACGATGGTGACAAGGACGACAACATTGGCCGTGGGGTGGCAGAGCTCGTGGCGGGTCCTTTACCTACCATAGCAGACAAGTGCATAGTACTTGGCGTAGTCACTGAAACTTGCTGTGTAATATTGGCACCTTTCTTTCCTTAGATGGCAAGTAATGCACTTTTTGCTTGGAGGATAGCTTCCAATGCTAATTCTAGAGGAAAATGAAAATAAAACTAAGCTGAAATTTTGAGATTGTATTTATCAAAATGTACTACTCCATGTAAAATGACTAATTTACATATTGACATCAAACCCACTCTATTTTTCTCTTGCCAATATCATTTAAAGTGAAGGGGAATTACAGTATTTTGATGTAGCCTGATTTTCAATCATCTTTGCCTGCAGAGGCACAAGCTTTGAGAGAGAAGCCCTTTGGTTTCTCTGGGGTGAGAGAAATATCTAACACCTTGAATGGGAGTGAGGTAACCACTTCCCATAGCCATTCATCCCTTACATCTTACAGAGTGCTTGGCAATGCATAGTTCTTCATCTTCCCATCTCTCTTTTTGTACTCCCATGCAAAACATGCAAGGAAAGTCTGGCAGTCTCACCAAGAAAGGGGTCGCTGTTCTTATCATATATCTGGAAGGGGAAATCAGTCATAAGCAAAGTGGAAATTAAGAAAAAACATAGTTTTTAAGTGCCTCCTGTGCCTTTCAATCCTTTCTGAAGGAAGTTTAGGGTCAGGGAAGCTCTTCCTGAGAATGCTTCCCCCCACCACATTCTTAACACAAACCAACTATACTTACCACATTGGACCCACCCTCTCCCCAGCAAAGCTTCTGCATGGCTCCTGAGAGGGGTGACTGGCTTTAACATACAGACTTCCAGACCTGACCCCAAACCCTCAGAATCGGATTCTAATCTGGGGCAGACTAGATGGTATGATGATGCCAGGACAGGGTCGTGGTCAGAGTCTGTTGTGGCTGGTAAAATAATTTGCTCCTCCAGTATTCCTTTTGCTGCTGCCCTTTACCTTGCCTTGGGCATGGTTAAGGGGAGCCAGAGACATTGCTAGCACCACAGAAGGATTCTCTCCAATAGATAAGAAGTCATGATCCAGGAGGGAGCAGAGGAATGCAGCAGGGGGAAAATTCCTTATTTCCTTGGTTACAGTTCATATTCATGTTCACATTTTTGTCTAATCTTAGAATGTTAGGTAAGCAGTTAACAGTAAGGGGGCTAGGTCAGCATGCCCAGGTACAAAATTCTGGCTCTAACAATATCACCTGCCTCCTGAAGTTGTGGCGATTAAATGAAATTACCAATGAAAAGTAGGTAACAAGGTACCTGACATATAGCAAACTACCAGCCCGTGGTAACTATGACTTCTACTTCTATATTTGGAGAGGGCTATTAAGGGCACCATTCCAATCACCAAGGGGACAACTGGACCAACTTAAACACTAATTTAGGGACAGAGATGAATTCCTTCCAATAGTAATAGGCTTATGCCAAAGTGAGCCATATTAAAAGAAATCACATGATAAGGCAATAGCCACAAGGCCTGGTACACAGTAGGGACTTAGTAAGTGGCTGCTAAATGGATGAATGTCCTCAATTACCTCTAAATTTAGTTGAAGTATTTAGTATCATGCTTATATCAGCATTAGAATCTCTTAACTTTTTCTCTGAAAACATTTTGAGTTAACTAATATTTGGGGGGTGTATATAATTTTTTTTAAGATTTATTTATTTTTTGAGAGAGAAAGTACATGTGCACGTATGCGCAGGAGGAGGGGCAGAGAGAGAAGGAGAGAGAGAATATCAAGCAGAATCCCTGCTGAGTGCAGACCCCCCCTCCCCCCACCTGAGGAAGGGCTTGATCTCGCAACCCTGAGATCCTGACCTCAGCCAAAACCAAGAGTTGAAGGCTTAACCAACTGAGCCACCAGATGCCCCAGGGAAGTGTATATTTTTATACTATGTGGTGTACGATTCTCTGGATGTTTTACCTTGATTCACATATAATTTTTATTACATTTCAGGCTTTAAAAAATATTCTGCATATCCAAATGCCTCTGACAGATTTTCACTCAAATATTAATGTATAAAATATTAGAATATATTGACATAAATTACCTATAGATATTTCTTCTTCCGGGGTAGCCTTCAAATTCATTGCTAGAATAAAACCTGAAAATATATTCAGAAGTTATCAAATAAGTATTGATAACTAAATGCTGACAGGATTGTTAGTATTAATACTAATAGGATAAATAGAGTCCAATGTGTGTCTAATGAAACTATTATTTGGCACTTATGTAGATAAATCACTGCTGTTTATAAGTCTGAATGTTATGTACTTACTCTCACTTTCAAATCATAAGAGAAAGATTAAATTATGTTGAATACTCCTTTTTTTATTATAGGTATATTGATTCATTAGTTACGATTACATGGTATAAGGTAGGATATTGACTAATGTCACCTCCTTCCTGATCCATTACAGTTTACTGGGCTCTCTGGGCTATATTAATTTTGTCCATGATTCTGAAGACATTTTGAATTTGCTTTACAGAAGCTCCAACAACAGATGAATTTGTTACAAATTCAGAAATGCATCCATGCTACAACACCACACAAAGGGCCATGTTAATTTACCCAGATGCAAAAGAAGTCACAAGAGAACATACTTGTTACTTAAGTATCTGGGTCCCAGTTCTAACCTGTCTTAATATAGCCGTGAAGTGGGAAATCCAATTTAGTGGCATGATTTTCACTCCTCTGTGAGTTCATCTGAATATCACGAAGTAACTGTCTTTTTTTTTTTTTTTTGGCGGGGGGGAGGGGTGAGGGAGAGCATAATGGAGTGTAGAAAATCAGGTTCCGTTTCCCATTTTTAATTCTTAGGACTGCTCAGTGGCCCAGGAGCTTCTATGTCTTCACTGTCATAAACACCTCATTATCCCCGAGTAGAAAGAAAAGGTAAGAGAATGCAAATCACTCCTAGGAGTAACTGTGTCTTCTAAACCAGCATCCTTCGGAGTGCTGTGACTAATGTCACATGACTCCAGCCGAGGGAATGATCACTTGCACTTCTCTTCCGCACATCATCATCTCAAACCACCAGTGAGCAAACTACTCCGTGTCTTTTCTAAGCAGCCCCCCACGGCTTTCCTGTTCTCTCAGTGACTTCACGGTTGCCTCCATCTAATCCTGGCGACCGAGTCCACTTTGCCCTTCCTTCCCTTTTCCTTCACTGCCACGCAGTCAGCTGTCTTGTTCATCCTCCACCTGTCCTTAAGGCCATGTGCCCTTCCTCTCATTCATTTAACAGACGTTTACTGAATTCCAGCACTGTGTCAGACATTATGCTAAGCACTAAGGACACACAAAAAAAGGGGCATAGCTTTTCCTTCCAAGAGTCTGTATCTCATTGCCGCCGTTTTAGTTCAGGCCCCCATTTTGCAGGCCGCGATTAACACCATCACTTGGTCTTCCTGCCTTTGGGTTTTCCCTACCTGTGTTTCTACTTCACAGTATATGGTAGGAAGTAATTGTTCAAAAAATGATAGCTGTTACCAATAATGATCTTAAATTTCTATAACAGTGAATCACTACCAAAAAAAATGTCTGCATTTACGGGCTGCCCTTTATGGATTTTTGAAGCTTGTTCCTTTCTTTGAGTGATAAAGAATAAAATTTGTGTTTAAAAGGAGTTGTTATTTTTAAAATTTTATACTTTAATTATCTACCAAGTATCAGAAGAGACATGACCGCTTACCAAATATTCTTTCCTGAAAGAAATCATGTTAACTAGCTGTTAAAGAATGTGCAGGCTTCACGAAACGACAGCGATCTGACTAACGTATAGAGTAAGTAACCAAAAATGTTCTTAACGAAGAGGTGGTACAGTATCATTTGTGTGTCCATCAGTGCCAATTAAAACCTGAATGGTGCATCATGCTTCATGCAATACTTACAGTGAATCCTGTGTTACTCTGAATATATTTATGGCCTCCCACTTGCCACTTGTAATTTGAATAGCATTTTCCTATAAAAAGACAAACATTATGTTGTGTGAAGCTGAGCGTTATTTGAGCAACCTCAAGTGAATGATCTTTGAGGAGATAAATCTTGGAAGGAACATACCACAGTGTCTTTGATATAGTGAATATGTTTGTAGCCATCCTTGTCGCTAAATATTTTGTAGTACGAAATGGCATCATAGCTGAAAACGGGTGTTGAAACAAAGAACTGGAAGAAATGAACAGAGGTTATGTTCAAAAGACAAACCAAACTAAAACTATAGATTTTTTTTTTGTTGTTGTTAAAAGCAGTGGATAGTTAGGATTATAGGAACCAGAACATCTTGCCTCCCCTGTCTTCTATCACTCACATCTGAAATCCTATTCTTTCAGATAGACAGCTTTCCTAGGGATTCTAACAGGCATTTGCACATTCCAACTGCTGCTTAATTGCTACTACATAACGCTATGCTTACAATGTTTAATTTGGATTGAATGTCTATGCTTGGAGATAATGTGGTTTGAAATAGAGTTAAAAGAATCACAAGTGAGTGCTGCTATCTAGTCAAGTCAAACTTTAAAATGTGGTATTTGACCAAAGTGTGACTCATGAAGGCTGATAGTTCTTTTGATTTTTGATTTGTCTTATGCCAAGCACCTAATGCCAATGACTCAATGAAGACATTTTAAAACATGAAAATATCATGGCCTGCTAGCCACGGTTTTTAACGTTGGAAAGAAGCTTCTGGAACTTCCAGACTTGAGATAAAATTGTTTCCCCAGCTAAGACAAATAGGAGGTTTACTCCTTGAGCTCAGGGAGCCAATCAGGTCTCATTGCCTGTCTCTGACCTCTTCCCAGGGCCCCCACTGGCCACTTGCTGGGAACTGCTAAATGACCGAAGGAGTCTCTGACACTCAGCTTACCTGTGCTCTGGAACAGAGCAAGCAACACCTCACACCAGAATGATATAGAGAACTAAAATCCTGCAAATGTACTCACACCCTATTTCAGCTAGTAGTTTCACCATTAAAAAAATAACCATCAACTCAACGTAATAAAAAAAACCAAAAAACAAAAAACATTCATTTCAATTGAAAAAAAAGGCAAAAAAACCCACAAAAAACCCTTATCTTAGATTTGTTGGCTTTGTTGTCATTGAGATGTGGAAGAAAGGCAAAAAACGGCCACATGAAGGAAGAGCTGCTCTGCATCTCCCAGTAGAGATTCCCACAAATAATCCCAAACCAGCTGTGTCTAGCCAGAAGTGCTTCCTTCAGAACTGACCAAGGGACAACAACCAAACTACCAGTATCTTTTAGTTGCTGTAGGCTTTTTAAGTGAAGGCTCCACATGTGATCTGATAATTGATGCTTTTTGATAAAATTGATGGTTATGATTGCATATTAAAATGTAATTTATTTGGGTATGGTATCTGTAGTGGTCTGAAGAACATTCTCCAAAATTCATTTGAACCCAGAATCTCCAATGGTGACTATTATGGACTGAATGTTTCTATTGCCCCCAAAATTCATATTTTGAAACCCTAGCCCGCCACTAGGACGGTATTAGGAGGTGGGACCTTTGGCAGGTAAGTAGGATGAGATGAGGTCATAGGGTTAGAGCCCCTCTGGATGGGATTAATGCCCTCACAAGAATCACCAGAGAACTGTCTTCCCTTGCTCTGTTTCCACCATGTGAGGATCCAAGAAGTTGGTGGTCTGCAACCCAGAAGAGAGCGCTCACCAGATCCCAACCTGGCTGGAACCCTGTGCTAGACTTCCAGCCTCCAAAAGTGAGAAAAATCAGCTTCTGTTGTCTCTAAGCCACTCAGGCACTTTGTTTTAGATGCCCAGATGGAGGAAGACCAAGGCAAGCACTGAGATGCGATTGTATTGAGTTAGGGTGGGTGGGCCTTGAATCCAATCTGGCTGGTGTTCTCATCAGAAGAGAGGACACCACTAGACGCACAGGGACACAGGGAAGAAGTCTACGTGATGGTGAAGCAGAGATGGGAGAGACGCCACTGCAAACCGAGGAAATCCAAGGACAGCCAAGGGCCACTCGTAGCTGGAAGAGGTGAGAAAGAATTCTTCCCTGGGAGCTTCAGAGGGAGCATGACCCTGCTGACACCTTGACTTTGGACTTAACAGCTTCCAAGATGGTGACAGAATAAATTTCAGTTGTTTCAAGCCACCAAGTTTGTGGTGGTTTGTTGCAGCGTCTCAGGAAGCTAATACACTCTAAGTCTTATCACTCTGGCACAGAATGGATGTCTTTCACCAAATGAAAAATGGAATATGGAGAATCTGTCACCTTACACGATTCCTTTGTTAGTTTCATTAATCATAAGAGCAGACTCAGTGGGACTTGGGGGATTGGGACTAATGCCCCTAAATGAAATTGAGAGTGAAAAGGGGGCCCAGGGAAAAGAGATTCTGCCTTGTAATTTTGCGAACGGAATTTCATTAGCATAGGTCGCCATGACAAGTCATTCTTCATTTTAGAATGAAGCTTTGCCTATGGGAAAATAATGATATACCTACTTAGTGATAGCCATTTCACAATGCCTCCCTCTCACTCCTCAGGGTGAAAGACAAAAACCAGTGCTACGTTGTCTTCACCACTAAAATGGAACCAGGGTCACAAAATATTTTAAGATGCCAGAGTAAAAACATACACTCCTTACACCTTCAGATAGTAAGGAACTGTAAAAAAGGTTTTGTTCTAGGTGAAGACTTAAAATTTCATTTTCATTGGAAAAAATAAGAGGGCAGAGTGTTGTGTTTTAAGATACGAAAATCAGGTGAACAGGAAGAGTATCTCTGCTAAGCAAAGACTGTTATCTTCTCCCCTTTTATTGCACACGTTGAAGACAGCTGCTTTAGATGAACGGGTAACTCAGCTGAGCTAAAGAGAGTGTGAAATATTTCCGCCTTCACCTTCCCAGAGCTGGGTCCATCACGCATCCTGAGTTAAGTGCTTTGGGCAGCAAGTTACGCCCAGACCCTAGATAAGCACCCATAACTAGGTGGTCCTCAGTTTTAACAAAGCCTTTTCACAGCCCCTTCTTTGTGCTTAGATTTTCTGATAAATTACTCACCACTATGTGCAAAGCCATTTCAAATATTGTACTTGGAAGGTAAGATTATTTACCACCAGATAATTTCTTGCCATGGTTGAGGAACAACCCTGAGGTCCTACTTAGCAAAGGCTGATGCCTAAACGGAGTCCGCATTTGGTGAAAAGCACAGACTTCCAAGCACCGAGTCGAAAACTCATTTTTCTGGTAACCAAATTTGGCCAGCTTTATTTTTGAAACAAGGAAATAAAACCTCACCTAAAAGTAAAAAAAAAAAAAAAAAAAAAAAATACAAACCCAAAACAACCCTCATTTTTTCTGAACAAAGGGATTTTGCCAACGGCTAAGAGAGGTGTTAGTGTATTGCTTACTTATTTTATTTTATTTTATTTTTTTAAAGATTTTATTTATTTCACAGAGAGAGATCACAAGTGGACAGAGAGGCCAGCAGAGAGAGAGAGAGAGGAGGAAACAGACTCCCTGCAGAGCAGAGAGCCCGATGCGGGACTCAATCCCAGGACCCTGAGATCATGACCTGAGCTGAAAGCAGAGGCTTAACCCACTGAGCCACCCAGGTGCCCTGCTTACTTATTTTAAAATGATTTAAATGTGGCTTTGCACTCTGAGTTGTACACTTTTAGTGCCGGTTTTCCAAATTTTACAAACTCAATCCTAGATCCTTTGATTAAAGGTTTCTTTCTTTCTTTTTTTTTTTTTTTTTTTTTTTTTTTTATCTACAGGACAAGAAGAAATTTGTTTGAAGTGAACTTCTTGTTGTTATTTTTCTGATCAAATACCAAAGGAGATTTTGGGTTATTTCTCCCAAATTAAGACACCAAATATCTCATGCTGGAGGACAGAAAGTTATAGGTAAAGTTCCATGTGCTAGTTCCGTGCCTGCAGCTAACAGGTGCATTGCTTTACGCCAGTTATTCAGTCTCACGCCTCTGATTCACATGCAGTTTCCAAGTGTTTTTCAGTTTAAATTTCCTTAATAAATTCTAAAGGAACAACTTTTCTAAAATTGCTCTTTAATTTTATACTAACATGGCTAGCCTGTGAACTTTCTCTAAAAACTTCATAAATATTACTTGAACAAATGTCTGAAAGACATACATATTTCTAGGTTATTTCTGGGTAGTTTTATTAAGCCATTGGTTTTCAAAGGAAGCTATCCAGAATATTATGACATATGAGTTATGAGCATGTAAATTATGGCCTGAGTTTCAAAAGACATCTCAAAACTTAACGTCTAATGAATGGCCTCTTCAAAGCAGCTGCCTTGGAGAATGTGAGCTTATTCTTGAAAGCTATCAGTGCAAAGATTTTCCGACAATACCTCTTCCGGTATTTAGAAAATTTACAGACTACTGGGTAAATTTTAAGAGATCAAGATGAGTACATGAAAAAATAGTTTTTCTCAATAGAATTCCAAAGCTACAGACCTTAAAATGATCTAGCACAAAATCATATGTTGCAGATAAATAAGGCACTGTTCACTAGATTTATTTTGGCATGATTTTTTGAAAATAATTTTTTATTTAATGTAAGGATCTCATCTTCCTTTGAAGGATATGTGTGTGCCTCCACTGAGGGTAATTAAAACAATGTTCTATGGCTTTAGAGGGCAATTAATCGATCCATTCATCCAGCTCATTTGTGGAGATTGCAAGGCTGGTTCTATCCAGATTGTAAAAATTGATAAGATACAAATGTTGAGGGGTGCCTGGGTGGCTCAGTGGGTTAAAGTCTCTGGCTTCGGCTCGGGTCATGATCCCAGGGTCCTGGGATCTAGCCTTGCATCAGGCTCTCTGCTCAGTGGGGATCCTGCTTCCTCCCTCTCTCTCTGCTTGCCTCTCTGCCTACTTGTGATCTCTGTCAAATAAATAAATAAAATCTTTTAAAAAAATGTTGACTCTAAGATGCTTATAAATAAGAGATTTCAAAAGATGCATTCTAAAATATTTCAGAGTATTTTGAACGCTGGTAGCATTTTCAGGATAAACGGGTGTGGATTCCTGAAATCATGTCTTTGAGAAGACTGTTGGTATCATTGCTTATCTACTTGTAAAATCATATCATTCATGTTATTCTGCAGTAACTCCAGCTATGTTATCATTATGGAGAATACAACGAAAGGACGTCTTCAAGTATTCTTCTGTGCCTTCGGTCTCTACGGGAAATTTTATAATGGGAGTGAACTCATAGGTTAACTTCCCCTTTCCTCAAGTTTTCAAACAATGATCTAGGAATTACCCTTTTTGAAGATGAGCTTCAGATAGACCAACATTCCAAAAATATAAAAAATCCTGTGCTTTCACTGAATACTCCTGATTTTTCTCCTGTTACTTAGTACAGTGGCAGAGTGAACTCAAATAGGACTTCCCCATTTCTTTTCCTCAAGTACACACCTATCCTTGTTACCTTACTATTTTAGAATATAACTTACACTTACTGGATGTAATTAGTAAAGTAACTACTCTCAAGTTAATGAACAAAACTGAAATATCTTTAAATGAAGACAGAGTAAGTATATATAAGCTAATATTGCTAAATCCAGAAAAGTGTACAAAAAAGAGTTTTTAATATCTGATGATTTTTACTTTACCATTTACCTTCTTTCTACTCACCTTAACTTTGAATTTTTATGAGTTATCATCTTACAATTGACTCAATTCTTTATTGTCCTTACATCATGAGTTAATGTGTTAAATGAGGTCCTAAGAGTTTCCCTTATCTTTGCATGTGCCACTCAGAGAAACTGTGTGTTTTGTTTTGTTTTTAAATCCAAATGTGAGTTAAATTCAATATGCTTGTATGAAGTGGCAGCATCTACATTACGTTCACTCATTCTCTGTCCTATTGTGTATTCTTCATGGGATATTAGGCACAAGTGATAATTTTGTAAAACATTATTTTTTTACACTAAAAATTCTCACAAATTACTGAATAAACCTATCCCGAAAACTCTACATATAAGTGATAAAAAAAAATAACAAAAACACATGTTTTCCTATTTGGTACCATTTAAAGACTGGAAAAAATATATAATTCACTTATTCATTTCAGTTTATATGAAATTTAATAAAGGTAGATTATCTTTAAATGACTAAAAATACCAGTGTATTTGGTTCTTCTGGCTTCAAATGGCTAATGATTATTATTTTAAGCTGATCAGGAATTATGATCCCTTTTGAAAAAATAATCTTTATTTGTTTAATAAGAGCATTAGTTACAAATATCAAAGAGTCAATTAAAAAGCTAAGGTTGGGACATGAGGAATATGGTTTGTTCTCAACAGAATTTTAAATATATAGACATTAAAATTGTCTGGCACAAAATTGCTGAAAGGACCACTACCTTTATTGTTGTTGTTTTTTACCTTGTTATTTTTTTCTATGAAACAAGTAGTGCCATTTTGGATTCATTTGAAATAGTCCTTAGATAGCTGAGAATCTGTCAAGCAACATTAAAATAGAAGGAAAATATAGTAAAATCATACTCCACCAGCCCATCCAGTTCTGCTTTCTTCTATATGCTCCTGGGTCTAAAAGAAAGATCACATCAAGCATACCATTAGGAGAACAGTTTTTCCTAAATACGATCTGGGCACTTGAACCAGTTAAGCTGCCTACTCAAACTGTACTATTGTAATCGAGTAACTTCATACTTGAGTTTAAGATGACCATATTCAAAATCTTATACATTAGCACTATTGCATACACATGAGTAATCTAAAAGCTGGATCTTATGCAAACATTTAAGAATTCTGGTTTAATTTTCCATAAGGCAGTGCCTGGAATTATTACGTCTGTAGAAGCCTAGCACAACCTAAGCACTTGGTGTTACGTAGTTTAAAAAGCCATTTCACAGTGGAATTTAGGTTAATTTTTTTTTCTTTTCTTAGTCTTATTAAGCAGATAGGAATCTTAAAATGTGCACTAGATCTTATTTTGATGCATATTTTAGCATAATACCATAAATACAAAATTTAGTAAGCCTAAGTAAGCCTAATTGGCTTTCCTAGACAAATATTTAGAGAAAGAACATTCTAGGTGAAATGAACAACACAGAGACCAGGCCAGCTTAGTAGCATGGTTCACAGGCCACAGGCATGGTTCAATATGGCCAAGGGGAGGATAACTATTGAAAAGAGTTGAAGATGAGGAAAGATGACAGGGTATCAGAAAGATCCTGGAGAAACTCTGATGTCACCCTAGGGAGTTTGGACTCCTCCTCTGGGTAAATCCTTTGAAGGATTTCAAAATCTCAATTTGGGAAATATAATTGCAAACATGATACAGAGAATGGATTGGAAGTGAGTAAGATAGAAAGAGGCAGAGAGATAACTAGAAGGCTGTTGTAATGCTTGGAAAAAAGATGATAAAGGCCTACATCTAGGTATTGAGAATGAGGACAGACCAGAGAAGATGTAGCCAGAGATACTTAAAAGTTCAAATCCTCAGAATAAATTTGAGGGGCAAATGGTAACCAAAACCTCTGGTATAGATAAAAATCACCGGAAGAGTAAGTTGAGGGTTGTGGCAAAGACTCTAAGATTATCAGCAATCATTTCCTCTTTTTGCTAGGACTATAGTCAAGCTCCCAGGCCTCCTTCTTGTAGGATGTGGTCATGTGATAAGTTCTAACCAATGGTGTGTCAGCAGTAGTGATTCATTCCACTTCAAGGCCTAGCCTTTCAAAATCTCTTATACATGATCCTCTATTCCCTTCTCCATCCCCCAACTGGATGCTGGTGGTCAGGTTTGAATGACTTTGGACTAGCCTTAGAAGTCACTAGATAAGATAGCAAAAATGCCATCACCCTGAGCACCCCATCTCCCACCCCTCACCATTCCTCACTCACCTGGACTCACTAGTAGGTGGTTACATGAATGTGCAAAACATTTCTATTATCTTAACCCACTGAATTACTGGAAGGGCTTTACTGTTGTTATAGCAGTTAGCCTATCTTGCAAATACAAGATAATTTGGAGAATAATAATATTTCTAGAGAACAGAAAAAGAAGAGTTGGAAACAAAAAGAATAGTCAGTGAAGAAGAAAGAGAACCATGAGAGAAGGTACTGTCATAAAAAGCAAGGGAATAATAAATCTTAAGGCACAGCTTTGTTGTCTAACTCAATACTTTGTTGTTCTTAAATCTGAAAATGTGTTCCATGTACTTACCAAATTATTTTGAAACAGAGGTTGTTTTGAAATCCTAAGGTTAATTAAACCTGGTATTCTAAATTTAATCACTGTTTTGGGCCATAAAACTAAAGTTTATATTCCAAGGAATTCCACATCTCCTTGAATAAGCATCTTACATATTCTGTCAGTTTGGATTAAAGTTGTCCCTGATTTTGATAAATTAGAATTTCAGATTCCAAAGCAATTGCTGTTTTTAAATGCCTTTTTTTTTGAAAACTAAAAATTGTATCTAAATGACTAATCTTAATAGTTTTTAAGTAATAAAATTAAAGTAATAATTCCTCACACCTAGATTCAATAAAAACATTGAAGATATATTCCTCCAAAGCTGATTTATCATACGAATGGTTTCTAATTAACTACCACAATCAAGCTTATTCTTTTCTCCCCCCCATGCTACTGCATTAAAGCCAAAATCTTTCTGTTTTGTATATAAAAATATAAATAAGATAAAAATAAGCTTCTAGCATATTCCATCAAAATTAGTCAAGCGTCTTACAGAGTAGTGATTTAAAAAATATTTTTAGCCCGAGTAATGTTGACTATTATAGTCCTGATATATTTCCAAATAGATTCATATGACTCTTTTCTTGCAAAACATAGTGTCCTAATTTCAAGATGGAATTTAGTGATTTACTTTGATTGCTCTGTGCTTTTTTTCTTACTTTATAAAATAGGTTTATTCTATATTTGGTTTAATGAAACATGTCTTCATAATTAGAAATCTTATGAAATGTATCCATCAAATTTCCTATTTAAAGAAAACATTTTGTACTTCTTAGTCTCTAATATGAGCACTTAGGAACAGGCTCATTTTAAAGCTTTTAGATCGCTGAAGTACTTGTCTATCTCATTAATTTAACAGATTATGTTTGGATTTGAACAATAGAAACAATTAAAACTCAACAGTAAATCTGTGCCTAATTTTCAAGGTTTTTTCCCTCCCTAAAATTAGCACAGTATAGAGTACTCCCAAGATAACAGGAGAGCAGGATAATTTCATGTCATAGTCTCAGTTATCTACATGGAGCAATGAGTGTGGTACATAAACAATGAATTTTAGAACACTGAAAAAAAAATTTTTTTTTAAAGATTTTATTAATTTGACAGACAGAGATCACAAGCAGGCAGAGAGGCAGGCAGAGAGAGAGGAGGAAGCAGGGTCCTGACGAGCAGAGAGCCCGACGCGGGCTCGATCCCAGGACCCTGGGATCATGACCTGAGCCGAAAGCAGAGGCTTTAACCCACTGAGCCACCCAGGTGCCCCTGAAAAAAAAATTTTTTAAAGAATAAAAAAGGGGGGGAATATTTGCTTTCTTTTGATAATATCCATTTCCTCTGAAATTTTTGTTTTTCAATTTTGACACTGAATAGAACATTTGCATTTCTTTCTTCCTTCCTTTCTTTCTTCCTTCCTTCCTTCCTTCCTTCCTTCCTTTCTTTCTTTCTTTCTTTCTTTCTTTCTTTCTTTCTTTCTTTCTTTCTTTCTTATAGAACACATCTATTTCCCTAATAGGCCCATCTTATATTTTCATCCTCCTTATTTTGGGTTTTTTGACTGCCAATTTTATCTTCTCAAAAGGACAGATTCCTATCCTAACTCAGAACCACACGCCTTATTTCTCCAATGTTACATTGTTTCAGTTAGTGGTTTTCTCCATGCAGTATCAGTGCTAATGCTATCTAAGAAAACAACGGTTATCTTAGTTATTTAATTAAAACAGTGGACTCTGAATAAAGAGGGTTTTTTTTTGTTTGTTTCGTTTTGTTTGTTTGTTTATTTGTTTTTTTCCAAAGGATCAAGGGTTGAATGAGGCAATTCTGGCCTTATAATACAAAATATTAACTACAGATAAGTACACTCTCGTATACTTTCATCTTCAGAAATACACCTCTGTGGCTTTACTATAACCTACCTTTGGACAATCCCATGTCTGCCAGTCATCCCTGAAATCACATATAGACAGAACCGAAACGTTCTGGATTCTTTTTAGCCACTGCAAACATATCCGTTCATCAGTAACCCATGTGAGCCAACTGAAATAATAATCACTGCACAAAAGCAAAACAGAGAGTCACAACCATAAACCAGCATCACATCAAATAATTTAAGTTCTGTTTTCTAAAGGATGTGTTTTATTATAACAAAATATCTATTCCATAGATAAGGAGGGTAAAACTTTCCATTCTCTACAGAGAAGGCTTAACTGTGCTTGCTGAATTGTTTTTATGTTGTTTATTATTATTATTATTTTTAAAAGAGAGAGAGTGCAAGTGAGCCCAGGGCAGGTGTAGGGGCAGAGGGAGAGGGAGGGAGAGAATCGATGTGGGGCTCCTTATAGTTCATGACCTGAACCAAAATCGAGAGTCAGATGCTTAACCTACTGAACCACCCAGGTACCCCATACTTGCTGACTTTTAAAGAATATCTATAAGAGAGCTCATCATCTAAATGGAATAATTTTATGCTTGAGTTTTTTCCTCATTTTGGATTTTTACATCTTAAGAAAAATTTTAAGGGGTGCCTGGGTGGCTTAGTGGGTTAAGACTCTGCCTTTGGCTCAGGTCATGATCCCAGGGTCCTGGAATCAAGCCCCACATCGGGCTCTCTGCTCGGCGGGGAGCCTGCTTCCTCCTCTCTCTCTCTGCCTGCCTCTCTGCCTACTTGTGATCTCTGTCTGCCAAGTAAATAAATAAAATCTTTTTTAAAAAAATTTGAGACATGAGGCCAAAGCTATTGGTCAATCTGGAGGGAAAAAGCATTAAACTGGTGATTTTTCACAGGTAAACTGAATTTTTCACTTTTTAACTCATTGAGAGAGAACCACATATGATACTTGCCCGTATTTCTCTCCAGGCAGGTTTGTTTTGGAAGCTGAGTTTTAACTGTGACCATGATCAGAAGTTGCAATTCAGGTTTATTGTAATAATCAGAGATGACGTATACTCAGTAGCTCAAATGATGTTGGGCGTGTGCTGGTGTCAGTGAATGGCACCAATTGCTCCTGGGCTTTGAGGATGAAGCCACCAATAGAGACCATCAATGTAAATAAACCACAGACTTTTGGACATTGATGTAAAAGAAATCCCAGAACTGGAAGGGTCTCTGGCTCAGATTCTAGTTTTACCTCCTACCGGTTATCCTATTTAAGGCTACTTACTTAACATATCTGTGCCTCTGTTTCTATATAAAATGGGAATAATAATATTACCAAATTTAAAGCTTGCTACAAAACTTATTGAGAGTGCTTAAGTTCTTGAGAATTCCACCTGCTCCATGGGGAGTGCTAAGAAAAGTTTAGCTCTTACTATTAAATTGTTAGTATTTTACAGA